CCCCAAAACCCCAAAACCCCAAAACCCCAAAACCCCTTGAAAATAAATGTGAATACTTTATTCTATAAAAAAATAATTTATAATTAGCTGTATTTAAATATAGGTAGGATTTATTTAGGGGAGAGTGCTAATCAATTTTGATTGGCTTTTTTGTATTTCCTCATTCTGATATTAGATGAGACATTTACATTGTTTTGTTATTGTTATTACATTTGTAATTATTGCTTGACAGCAACTGTTTTAGATTGATCAATATGAGTGTTATTACTGCTATTCAAAAGCTGTTCTTACTACTGCTAATCATTGACAAATATCTAATTGATATTGTAGTTGTTGAAATTATTAATGTTTCCAATGTGTGGTGCTTGCATTATTGTAATAGGCTGAGACTGTGCAGTCATGTTCTTTGGATTGATAATTGGAGGAGTGATGTCAGTCTTTATATTGAATTTATCAAGTTAGATCTCTGGCTTATTATTCATGTGGCTCTAACTGCTCGGTACTTAAGACATTGAATTTATATTTTAATTAGAACCTCTCACAGGCTAGAATACAGGATTCCCTTAAATGTGAGGAGTTTCTTGATCTTGCTATAAGTAAAGATTCATCGTTCTGTTCTGAGAATTATTTTCTCGCTTAGGATATCTCACATACGTTTAGGATCTCTTTGTTGGATGTACTATATTAGAAGTAACATTTATTTCATTTATATAACCTTAAGCAGGACCTCTTCTATAAGGCTATGGCTTCTGACTATTTACTCTTTATGATGATTAAGAGGCTGTTTAACCTTTTCTATAGATATCTTTAGCCATTTAAACTGATGACATTGGGGCAGCTTTGCCCATTCTGATAGAGTTTCTATTTTTTAGTCCTAAATAGGATTAATTTAAATTTGAGGGAGCATAACTATTGTTTATAAAAGAAGTGTCATCTCCTAGACCACTACCATTATTGTAGCCTTAGAATGTTGTGTTTACATCAGTAAGTGGCTTTGTCTAGGCAATTTCTTTGAGCTTCACAAGATTCTTCTATACTTTTAGATTATGTGCAGCACTATGTACTATATTTGAGGAATAGCCACCAGCAGTTGAAAGATGCATTTAGCTATTGAGATTGTTTACATTGCCAATATTCTGGTTTGTATTTGATTAATCATTCAACAAGATGTTACTGATATTCTATTGTCCATTGTTTATTGCTTGGAATTAGTTATTCTAGTTTTATGGAAATTAGTAGTAAAACTCAGCTGAATATTGATTAGTTATTGTATTGGTACTTGTTACAGTCCTTCTTGAATCTTCCTACACCTCATTTTAGTATATTCCAGGAATGATGCCAGCATTGTAATAGTTGTTATGATTTGTTTGCTGTGATCCACTTCCGAGTTTATGCTCTCTGTTTGATTTCGAGATCGATATGCCTCTCTACTTCTTCTTAATTTAAGTATTTGAGTTGAAATTTGAATTATTGAGTGCTGTATTATTCTAGTTTGAATATACCATTGAGTTGTTAATGATTGAGCTTTGATTGATAGTAGTCTGATTGACTGCATTGCTTGGACTTTTTTATCTCAAAAATTTGTTGATCTTTGGATGAATGTTATTCGTGGCTTAAACTCTATTTGCTTTTTTTTAACTCAAAAGAGTTCCTCTACTATTTGTTTGCATAGCTCCTGAGATTGATACGTTATTGATACTTGAGGCAATCGCATTTTTACTCTAAATATCTATTCTACCTGCTCCACCGTAATCTCTTCTGTACTTTTTACTTACTTAAGGTGATTTTGCTATTTACTGGTTGCTAGATATTTAATAAGCTCCAGCCCCATTGGCTCCACCGTACAATGAAATCCTCATCTTCTAATTTGAGTTATAATTTGATCCTAGCCCAAAAGAGTTGCCTTAAGCACTTGCTGTTTGGAAGTTATTTTGTAGAACTACTCTATTAGAATTAACATTATTTAGCATTATTTGCTCTCTCGTAATTTACTACTGGCTTTGCATAGCACTAAGTTGCTATTAACTTTAAAAGGCATTCAAAGGAAGAATTTCATGGCTCATAAATGAGTTGCTGTTTGCAGTTCCATTCGTTTATTACTGGCTACGATCATTCGTGAGGAGACTTCTTATGAAACTCTGCTCGTCAAAATGCATCATAGACATATTAGAATTCTTATAGTAATGATTTTGAGGTTGCTGAATGATGTCTAGGGACCTGTCTAATGATCCTGGGATATTCTAGCGCTTTTATGCTTGTCTCACTGAGTATCTTACTCCTCCCTAGACTGCGAACGGAGGTGGTTTCTTTGAATACTTTCCATCTTTAGTCATTGTTTCAGCTCTATTACTTTGAATTTTTTCATTAGCTTCATCTTTGACTCTTATGGGGCTATCTTGCAAATTCATTCCTCCAGTGTTGACATTTGCATCTTATGATGTCTTACTGCGATTGCTTAATATCCCCTCTTATTCATCAATGTTAGTTTAATCATCATTCGATGTTGCTTCATCTAGCTTAGGACTCTCGATAAAGTTATTCTACATCTATGCCAGTTTACTTTGATTGATACTCTCAGCTAAAAGCCTATGGCCCCCTTAGGACAATCTCTTAGGATTACTTCTTATGTCATTAATTAGTGATGAATCTCTACTTCCTTTAATTGACTTTGGATAAAGTGTTTAGGCACTTTGATAATAATTAGAAGCCTCAATCTTGCCATCTTTCTCCATTTTCTTGAGCAGCAAGTAGTAACAAGTTGTAGCATGGTTGTGCTTATTAGCATCTAAACATCTTATCGCGTATTCTCTTTAGAATCCTTTTTCTTCAAGCAGTTTCAAGATATCCTCCTCATTTGGAATTTGATTATAACCAACTATAAGCCCTCTGTTCATGCATACTGGTTAAAATTTTTGAAACCATGGATGTGATCTTATGTCTGGTATCTTGTATCTTTTTTCAGGATCGGTGTTTAAAATCTTCTACATCAAATCAGCAGCATCTTTGCTCACAAAACTTGGAATCTTGAATTCCCCACTTAGAATTTTCTTATAGAGTTTAGATGTATCTGGATCCTCGAAAGGTAAAAATCCACAAATCAATGCAAACATGATAACACCACAACTCCAAATATCTACATTTGCACCAAGATACTTCTTTCCAGCTATCATTTCTGGAGCAGCATAGCATGGACTTCCACAAGCTGTTTTCAAAAGTTCACCTAATCCGTAGGTGTTTGATAGACCAAAATCAACAATTTTGATGTTTTTATTATGATCTAGCAGCAAATTCTCAGGTTTCAAGTCTCTATGCACTATGTTCAATTAATGGATGTAGTCAACTCCTGCTATTATTTGCTAAAAATACTTGCATGCTTCCTCTTCCTTAAGCCTTGTATTTGCTACGATATAGTCAAAGAGCTCTCCTCCACTTGCATATTCCATGATTAGGTAGAGCTGCTTCGGAGTCTCAATGATTTCATAGAGCTGAATTATGTTGGGATGTCTTATAAGCTTAAGTATATGTATCTCTCTAGCCACTCTCTCAACATCAGACACATCAGTTATTCTATCCTTTTCTAAGATTTTTATAGCCACCTATCATTAAATTTGTAAAATTTATTCTTGCATTACCTTTTCACCTGTAATATGATGAGTTCCTAGCTTAACTTTGCCAAATGTACCCTCTCCTATTGATTTTTCTATTTTATGTATTTAACTAATGCTTATATTGTACCAATGGAATAATGCCCTATAGTTTTTCTCGTTCTTTTGATTACTTAAGAATCATTTTTGATTGTTTCATCAACTGGTAAAGTGTCTTCTCCATGCTCAATGGTTTTTGTGTTCATAATGCTAGAATCATCGTTATGATAGTCTTAAAAACTGTCAGGTTCTATATGGGGCAAAGAATCCTGTTTTTATCTAATCTTGGGGTTTTGTTTATAATCTACGTTAATAGTTGAGGTATCAAAAACATCATTTATATGAGTTTTATTCACTAGATTATCCTCATAGTCGCTAAAATAAGTTTTAAAATTGAACAAAATCGAATTGAGACTTACTCATCAAGTGAAAAATTCAACGCCATTATATAATATTTTAATTTCTATAACTTTTGAAATTATTGTAGATCCCAGTAATTTAACTAGATTAGCCCACTTGGGGTTTTGGGGTTTTGGGGTTTTGGGGTTTTGGGGTTTTGGGGTTTTGGG